CCTAGCCGCCCTAACTGTGAAGTAGTTCTTGCGGATGTCTAATCTAAACCTACTCTCCAATAATTTGTGTCCATTGTTCCTTGTCATGCCAGGGGGCGCTAGGGGAAACAGTGTCTCCCCCAAACCCTTCTGGTCCCCCCTAGTGAGTTTATAGACAGTCACCAGGTCCTCCCTCAGCCTTCTCTTGTGAAGGCTGAACAGGTTTAGGTCCCGCAGTCTTTCATTGTAGGGTCTGCCCTGTTGTCCCCGGATCATGTGGGTGGCCCTCCTCTGGACCCTTTCAATGTTGTCCACTTCCCTCCTGAAATGGGGCGCACAGAACTGGACGCAGTACTCCAGCTGTGGCCTGACCAGCATTGCATAGAGGGGGAGGATCACCTCCCTGGCTCTACTTGAGATGCACCTGTGTATGCACGACAAGGTCCGGTTAGCCCTGCCAACCGTGACCTCGCATTGTTGGTGCATGTTCATCTTGGAGTCAATAATGACTCCAAGGAATCATGTTGCCTGTTTGTGTGTGGGAGGAGGGGCTGGGGGGCTAAAAATACCCTGGTGCTGGAGATCATAGGAAAAGCACAGCCTCAAGGCTGGGGCCAGCAGCTGGGTTTTTCCTGCCCTTAGGCTGCGCTCAGGACATGTATAAAAGTTCAGTTAGATTGGTCTTGCTGTACCCAGTCTAACTTAGTGCACCTCCAAGGTACAGTTAAATTAGATCACATTGGCTATTTTTGACTGATCTAACTTTCTTGGAACTTATCTACAGTTTGCACTTAGATCAACCTAACTAGGGATCTAAGGGGAAAGTCCATACATGGACAAAGTAAGGTAGATTGGGTGTCCATTTTTAACAAGATCTAACCTTCCTGTAATCTCCCCAAACATCTGTAGTACCCTATATGTCTCTTCTCAAGCCACATGCTATGCTATTAATTTTCTCCCTCATCTTTTCTGAAATGGGAAGGAACCATGGCTTGAGATATTAAATATGTATTCTAAAGAACATTCCTTGTTGGCTGGGGAATGAGCACAATTACTTAAAGATCTTTTGCATCTTTAATATTTATGAGTCTGTGAAATATCCTGAAATATCAGAAATATGTGTGTGTACATATTTTCTTTCCTTCTCTTTTTAGGCTTAAAGATATATCAATACTCTTGGAAAGGCAGCATGATCTTATTAAGTTGATCCTACAAAAAATGGAAATAGTATCAGAAGCTGAGGATGAAGACAGTAATGATTTATTTCAACAAAATTTTAGGAAACAGCAGTTAGAAAACAGGAACAGTAAATGGGATACTGTTTTAAAAGTTGTAAAATCAAAAGGAGCCTAACTCTAACACAAGTGAGAAAAACAGCATCATCTTAACAAGGATATTGCATGATGTATGTATGTAAAATGGTTTCTCGTCAGGTTGTTTCTCTTCTTAATGCCTCATGTAAAATCTTAATGAGATTTATCATGTACTCAATATAGAACATTTACCTAATTAGGGCTTACATAGAATACAGGCAACCTCTTAGCTCTGTATTTAATTAAAGGTTTTGCTGTTATGAATATATTTGATTATGAATCTAAGTAGAGGTAATTCTTCCAATAATCTTCTGGGGATAGAGCAGAAAAGGAATCATTTTTTGTAGGTTAATAAGTAGGAAACTAACTTTTAATGATTTCTCTGTGGGGTCTGCTGAGTAAGGACTGCAGGATCAGGCCCTGAAAAGTAAGTAGTAAATGTAAGTTTGTGAATATACTATGCAACCATAGGGCCAGATATGCCATCACATACATGTATGCTAATCTCAAATGCTAGTAACTCCAAAAGCAGTTAGTGAAACTAACATAGGGAGAAATGAGCAGTAAATGTTAGTCATTTACACATTATACTGCTTCTGTTTTCATTCTTCCCTGAATAGTTAGCATTGATCTTGTAAGTTTAATCCAGGGCTTCTTAGTAGCTGGGGCCTGTACGCTGCAGGGACCATACCAGTAGGGACTGACCACCCTCACCTGCCTGGCTGCAGGCTCTCCTACCACCACATGGCTGGGCTGTTCCACCCCAGTAACTGCTTGGCACAGGGCTCCCCTGCCACACTGTGCCATAGGCTCCCCTGAGACTTCAGGCTGCACTGAGCCTTGTGGCCCTGCTCTGTCTCACTTCCTGGGGAAGGGGCAGGAACTGAAAACCAGAGAAGGGAAAGGGAGCCTGGAGATCCCAGCTGCAGCAGCAGCCACAGCAGTGAGGGGAACAGCAGCCAAGAGGAGCCCAGGGACTACAGATTAATCCCTTGCAGGCCACTAGTTGGATAGCCCTGGTTTAATCCAAGCTGCCTCTGTTATTTATTTACAAATTTAATGCACTATATAGTGTACAGCAGTATACAAACATGTATACCATAAACATGAATTAAACAGTTGTATTTTAATTTTTCAGAAATCATGCTAATAAACTGCTTATGAGTGGATCTGTTTGTATCATGTTTTTCTTTTTGTATATTGTTTTTCTTTGTTTTTACTTTTTTTCCCCTTCAATTCAATATATTACTTTTAGTCCCTGACCAAAACTTTATTCATTCATTAAAGAACAACATATGGTATCATTCAATTAGGTATTGGAATTATATAATACAACATAGAGCCCAGTCATCCATTGAAAAGGCAGAAAGCCATAATATAAGTTAGTGGGCATGTCTACACATGCATGAATGTGCTGTAATTATGGTACATTAATTTTAGTACCTGTACTAATAGGTACTAACTTAATGTGATGTAATTGGTGCTACTGCTCAGTAGCACTGGTGCACATCTTTTATGTGATGCTGATGCACAGTAGACTAATTCTACTGCATATTAGCGCATCAGCATGGCTTTCACCATGATGAGCTAATGCATAGTAGAATTGGTCTACTGCGCTTTTAGCGTCTTGTGTTGATGCGCTCAGTGAGGTTTTTTAGAAAATGCCAAGAGTAAGGTAGGATTACACAGAGCATAGTTTCAATGCTGCCTCAGTTAGCTCCATCACAACAGAGACCAGGTGAAAAAAGGACTCATGGCTCTAGGAGTGGAATTCACAAACCTAAGTGAGCCATCTAAATTTTCCAGTGCACTGTACTGAGAATTTAATGTCTCATAATGGGATTCACAATAGCTATTACACATTGAGTGGGGGATACCCAAGTCATCTGACAAGAAATGCTGATAAAAGTGTTCTGCATTAAATCCTTCTCTCCTGGATGTAGGTGACCATCTGCAGCCAAGAGCTAGATACTTATGTGAGGCTGAGATTAATAACCTGAAAACAAATTGAGACTGGAGCACTAAAATCATCTGCAACTTCCTGTGCCTTTCTCCCAAGTGTCATGTGTTTGGGTTCTTTAAGAACCTCGCCGTGGCTCTATGGGCTGTATGGCCAGGCTATTGGGAGTGGCCTCGGGTTAGATCCCCAGGGGTCTTTCCTGCCCCGTCTTTGATGATAAGGAGTTTCCAATTGGGATGTCTGGTCCTGCCCCCCTGGTCCTTTCCCTTGGCTGTCCTCACAACTGTCTCTTCTTGGGGCTCCACCTCCCCTACACCCTGCCTAATGCCAACTGTGATGTTGCCTGTCAGGGCTGATGTTTGGGCTCTCTCTGGCACTCAGTTCATTGGGGCTGCAGTTGTTGGCCGCTGGTGAAGCTATTACTGAGCACTCTCTGTGGCCCCTCTTTGCTCTTTGGCTTACGCAGAGCTGGGTTCTCCCCTGACTTCCACCTCTCTTGATGTGTTGTTGACCCCCCCGAGTTCGGTACCTGCTGCTGGTTGTTTGGGTCAGGGTCCTGTCCTTGTTGCATTTGCCAATGTCCCAGTCACTGTGGTTACTGGCTCTGGTCCACGCCAGGTCCGCCAGCGACTCCTTGGGCCCTTGCTGGCCCAGCTTTCCCTTCATGCTCCCTTCCCAAGGGAGCCACCAATCCTTCTCCTCTGGATCATCCAGCTGTTCTGACCCCTCTGGGCCAGCCAGGGACGCTCTTTTTGGTCCCCCCAGCTTCCTTCTGGCTGGGTCTTTTCTGCCGGCTTTGGTTGCCCGCCCAGCCAATTGCCCTTGGCATGCTTTTATAAATCATGCCCAGGTGGATGCAGGAGCCATTCCTGGCTCCTTCCATCTCCACCATGGGTTTTTCCTTTGATCTTCAACCACAAAGCGGGGGTGAACCTCCTATAATAGTTCACTAGCCCTAAAAAAGCCCGCATCTGTTGCTGCATCTGTGGGGGTGGATATCTCCTTATTATATCTATTTTACTGGCTAAAGAGCGTATTTTACCTTGTCCTACTCTGAACCCCAAGTAATTCATCCCTTGCACTCCGAAGGTACATTTTTGGGGGTTCACTGTCATGCCCATCCGGCGTATTTCTTGTAACACCGGCCCTACGTGGCGTCAGTGCTTCTCCCATGTTTGCGAGTAAATTACTACGTCATCGATATACGTGGCTGTGTACATCGTGTGTGGGGCCAGGATGTGGTTTATTAACCATTGGAAGGTTGCTGCGGCCCCGTGTAGTCCAAAAGGCATTCTCATAAACTCAAACAATCCCCAGGGTGTGCCGAAGGCCATTTTCGGCTGATCTTTCTCTGCTACAGGGATCTGCCAGTATCCCTTTGCCAAGTCGATGGTTGAGATATACCAAGCCTGTCCTATCTGTTCTAGCAACTCTTCCACTTGTGGCATGGGAAAGGCATCAAATCTGGCAACTTCATTGACCTTCCAAAAATTGATGCATATTCTGAGAGTACCGTCATTATTCAGCACTAGTATCATCAGGCTTCACCAAGGAGTGCAAGAAGGCACGATAATCCCTTGAGATAACATCTTCCGCAGTTCGCCTCAGACCTTCTCACGCCAGTGATGGGGGATAGGCCTCTACCTCTCTTGCACAACAGTCCCCTCAGTGTGTGGATCTCATGTTGTATCCCTTGGGCTCGGCAGGGTTTTTCATCTAGCACCTCACTGAACTTTGCCACCAACCTCCTCAACTGTTCATGCTGCTGGGCATTAAGCTCGGGCCCGTATGGCAGTTGACCTCCTAGTTCTTGCCTTTCTGGAGGTTCCCCTGCCTCAGGTCCTAATTCCTCCTGAGGGTCTTCTGGACTCAACAGCCAACCCTCAGGTTCTTGCCACACCTTCAACAAGTTGGCATGATAGATTTGTTGCTCCTTTCTATGCCCAGGGTGATGTACTTCATAATTGACTGGCCCTGCTTGCTGCACAATCTCAAATGGGCCTTGCCATCGTGTCAACAGTTTATTAGCTGTAGTGGAGAATAGCATGAGGACCTTTTCCCCAACATGGAAATTTCTAGTGCAGGCCCCTTTATCATACTTTTGTCATTGCTCTTGCTGGGCCTTGGCCAAATGCTCCTGAGCAAGTTGTCTGGCTTTTTTCAGCTGTTCTATCATTTCCTGCTGGTAGCATTGCACCCCAACTCCGGGTTGTCCTGCACTTTCCCATTCCTCTCTTATCCCTTGTAACAGCCCTTGCGGCTTATGGCCATATGTCAATTCAAATGGGGACAGCCTCAGGGACATGTGCAGGGTGTCTCTCAGTGCAAAGAGGAGAGGTATCAGGATCAAGTCCCACCTCCTCAGTTCATCCTGGGCACATCAGCGCAACAATTTAATCGTACCATTCAGGCGTTCTACCAGCCCATTAGTTTGTGGGTAGTCCACCGAGGTGCGGATTTGCCATATCCTCAACAGCTGACACATAGCCTGGATGACCCCAGACATAAAATTCATCCCCTGATCTGTAATTATTTCTCTTGGAACTCCCACCTGGGACACCCATTTCAAGAACTCTTCCACAATTTGCAGGGCTGTTGCCAATCTCAATGGTATTGCATCAGGGTAGCGCGTAGCATAGTTCATGATCACCAACATATACTGGTGCCCGGCACTACTCTTTGTCAGGGATCCCACTATATCTAGCGCTATTCTGTCAAAGGGGACCTTGATGAGTGGCATCGGTTGTAGTGGTGCCCATGGGGGCCATCTCTCTTTGCCACTTTGACATTCTGGACAGGCCTCACAACACTGTGCGATGTCCTCCCTCATCCCCGGCCAGAAAAACCACTGCCCTATCCGGGATGCCGTGTTGTCTGCCCCGAGGTGGCCACCCATTGGGTTAGCATGCGCCAACCTCCACACCCTCTTGCAAAACCTTCTAGGGACTACTAGCTGCTGGGTCCACTCCCCTCGGACCAGGCACTTCCTTACTTGGTATAACAGACCCCTATGTATCCAAAAATATCCTTCACTTACATCCATTCCAGGTCATATGGTTTCTTCCCCTACCCAAGCAACCTCTGTGTCCTGGATCTTCCGGAGCTGGTCATCTTCTTGGGCAGTTCAAAAGTATCCGCCCTCAGCTCCCGTCCCAAAGCTAACCCACCCATCCTCATCAGACAACGCTGAATCCTCCTCTGCTATCCAGCCTTCCCCGTGGGGTGTCTTTTACACCTTATCTCCTCCGCATGTACTTCCTCTAATACCTTGTAGAGAGGTGGCCAATCCGTCCCCATGATCATCTGCCCATCTAATTGTGAGGCCAGTCCAATGTGCAGTTTACCCTTGCGACTGGCGATCTTCATGTCCATGAAGCCCCTTTTGTATTGTTCTGTCTCGCTATATATACACCGCATCCTCACCAGAGGGCACCATTCAATAACACTCTCAGGGATCGTCCCTGCCCATGTCAGTGTCTGAGAACAACCGGTGTCCAGGGTGGCCTGGAGGAGCTGGTCCACCACCCACACTGTTACCATGGGGCGGTCCCAGCCCTTTACTACCTTGCTGCATCCAAAAATTCAGTCCATTTCCTCAGTGGGCTCATGGGTGTCATATTGTCCCTTCAGCTCCGTGACCTTCCCTGCGGGCTTCCACCCCTCTGTGGCCCCTAGGGTACGTTCTTGGGAAATGTGTCCCATCTTGCCACACTGATAGCAAATGGTGTCTCACTTCACATGGCGCACGGGCCTCCTCCTTAGGGGTAGGCCCCATACTTCTATAGTTTTTCTCTCTTAGCGACTGCCCCTCAGAGGTGGCAAAGGCCTCCACTATCCTTAAGGCTTCAGTGGTTGTTTGGGGAAGGTGCTGATGCACCCATAGCTGAGTATCCTCATCCAAATCTTTTATGAACTCAAGCAGAATCTGAACTGCCAGATGGGGTCCCCTGGAGGGTGAGAGGGGAGGGAGGAGAAATAAACCCCCTCCCTGCCCCCTTCACATTAGGGGGCCATGCTGGGCCAGTGTCTGGCCACATCCCATGCCCTTGCTCCATCTAGAGAGCAGAGAGGTGAGACCAGCCCTGCTCTCTGGAGCAGACAGCATAGCCAAGCCCAGGGCTGCAAAGCATGCTGGGATGCTGGAGGATTCTGATTTAACTTAAACCAGGAAGAGATCTGTGACAGAAGTTCCATTTACCAATTTGACCT